CCATGCGCTCAACGACTGGCGGCTGGACGCCCCCAAGATCGCCGGGCACCCCGAGTTCCAAGGTGCCCCGGACGTCATTTTTAACGTTTGCCTTTGCGGTGCGGTGCGGCGCCCTTGTCCTAATCTGTCTCCGCTTTCCAGACAGCAAAGCCAACCCCGTTGATATTTTTGCCATCGGCTTTGAGGAAATGGTGGAGCTGAACGCCGGAAACATCGTCAGCGCCAGGTACGTGCGGGCGGACCCGGAGAAAAGTACTGGGGCGCAAAGCCGCCCAGCGCAAAATCATCAGAACTGGGACGAAGCCTCATGATTCATCTTAGCAAGACATTTTGGACTGCTGCAACTTTGGGGAGGTTCCTTTTCTGTTTCCGGTTCACAAAGCAAAATCCTCTGCGTTTAGTTTTACGTACACGAGGAATGCGGCCCAAGAAGTATTTTCACGGTCACAAATCTCCTCATAGTTGAACTTGCCGCTCTACTTTTCTAAAATTGGTGTACAAGCCAAACTTGGGTTCTCTTTTATTTCCTGTCTGAGGTTTTCTTATTATCGGGACCTGTTTATGGGGTAAATTAGTCAGGAGGTATGCAGAATGCCAGCACTCTACTTTTTGTTTTTGATTTGCGCAAACCCAAATCCACAGCACCACCAACCAGAAGCTGTGGGCCGCCGAGCTGCAGAAGAACATCTCGCGGAACCACAAGTACGTGCTGCTGGAGGCGGAGCAGCTGGGGGGGTGTTGAAGTGATTTGCCCCACTTGACATGGCAACGTGTCTTGGGAATGTGTTGCTCCCAAGCAGTGGTTCTCGGTGTACTCACGGCGAGGCAGAACAATTCAGTGTGTGTGTGTCTGCCTGTTCCCAGTCGGTCAAGCACACTCGGCTTTGGTGGATAGTGAGCAGTTCTTAAATTAAACAACAACAAAAAAATCGTAGAAACTGTCCGTTGCTTTTTGCGTCACTTTTGTTTGGTGGTGTGCCGTGAAATGTGTCCCATTTATACGATATGTGTTGATTCTCAAAGCAACCAAAATAGTGGTCGGTGTCAAATAACCAGCCGCGATCTCCTTCAGGCGGGAAAGCTGAAAGACGGCGCTCGCTCGGTGACCAGGACCATCCAGAACAACTTCTTCGACAGCTCCAAGCAGGAGGCCATCGACATCCTGCGCCTGGGCTCCACGCTCAACAGCGACCTGGCCGACAAAGCGCGGGCCTTGCTCACCACCTCCAGCCTCTACGGTAAGTCCATCGGCTCCTCCTCCTCACCTGGGATGAGCTTTGTCCGGGCCGCCGTCACGTCGGCCTGACGTTTCGTCTAACGGGACTTTCTCTTCCTTCTCTCCACGCTGCGCTCTGTTAGTCACTGAGCCCGTCTTGCAGTCAGGTACGGTACCTGAGTACCCCTGAAGTGTATCCACCTTGTCCTCCACTTTCACCTCATATGTGCTTGGTCTTTCAAGGAGCCATATTGTGCCCCCCCCCCCTGCCTCCCACACACACACACACAAAACATTTCAAAAGGTTCACAGGGCTTTTACATAATGTCTCATTTTTTTCCCTTTTTTTTTTATTTTTGCCTCCATCCCATTTGTGTGAAAAGCATTGTCATGTGTTGTCAGTGGACACAGCCCCCATGAGTAGTTGTTGATGATTCCCCCCCGTCATTTTCTTTGATTTCATCTTTGAATATGCGCAGTTGAATCAAAGAGCCAGTCCAGGAAGTGTATCCCCAATGCTTGGGTGCACACACTCATTTGGGCAACCCCCTTTTTGCGCAGCCTCCCCCAGGGTGCTGCTGGGCATGTGCCAGAACCACCGCAAGTACACGCGGCCCAAGCAGATCCGAGTGTGCGTGGGCACGTGGAACGTCAACGTGCACACACTCATTTGGGCAACCCCACTTTTTGTGCAGCCTCCCCCAGGGTGCTGCTGGGCATGTGCCAGAACCACCGCAAGTACACGCGGCCCAAGCAGATCCGAGTGTGCGTGGGCACGTGGAACGTCAACGGCGGCACGC